ATCGCCAGCATCGCCAACCCGGACTGGATCAACACCGGGGAGTCCTCAGGTGAGCGGCGAGGGCGCGGGGGCTTGGCTCGGGCCACAGCGAGGGGCCGCGAGGCTCCGGCCGCGGAGCACCCGGGGCTGGAGAGTCCGAGGCGGGCTCCGGCCCCAAGAGCCCCGGGCTGCGGAGAAAGGCGGCCGAGGGGCGGCCCGGACGGCGGGGGAAAGTGGGTGGAGACGAGGACTCGGCGGGTCGCGAGCGGGACCCCCAGGCTGAGTGAAAAGTGACCCAGGGGCGAAGAGACCTGTGCTGGACTGGCGGGTCCCCGGACCCGGGAGGGTGGGACCCAGGAGGGGACGAGCTTCGTTCTGCATTTTTATTTTGTAATGAAAGTGTAGGGGGGTGGGAGACGGGAGGAACCGGTTCGGAGGAAACCGAGGTGCCGGCGAGGGAATTGGAATCCAGGCAGGGAGCCTGGGGTTGGCAGAACGAGGTCAGGCCCGGAGCGAGGCAGCCTGCCGGCTGGACGAAGGGCACCCGAGAGCCATGGGGCGAGCGGGGGCGGTCAGGTCTGACCCTAGACCCCCCCAGTCCCCCCGCCTCCCACCCTTCTGGAACCTGCGGCCCGGAGGTGCCAGGGCACAGGCAGGCGCTGCTAAGCTGACTCGGAAAGATGGGGTTCATGGCTGGCGCCGGGAGAAGGGAATGGGGGCTGGGCGCTGGGGACAGGGATAGGGTCGGACCCCCGCGCCCCCCTCCTCTCCCAGTCTGGCTACGTTTGAGTCCCTTGGCTTCCCATTTACCCTTTGAAACGTATGTGGTTATGGTTATGGTTTATTTTAGGTCCGGGAGTTAATATAATACTAATAATAAACTTCACTTTATGGAGCATCTTTCATTCCAGCGCATCAAAACGCTTTAGAGATCTTAATAGTAGTTACAAAATTAACGAACACAGGCAGCCCAGCAGCAGTAGTAGTGTTGGCTGAAGCACTACGGAGCTCTAGGCAGGCAGACATCTGAAGGGTATCCCAGGTGACTGAGTTGGCACTATTGGTCTCCTTGGGCCACTACACACACACACACACACACACCACCACTACCCCCCCCCCCCACTTAAGTAATATAAACACGTTGTGAGAGCTGAATTGGAATGAAAGGTTTTTGTTTTTTTCCAAACTGCTTGTTTAGTACAGGTGAAGAATTGATTGGGTGGGGGCTAGTGCAGGCTGGGGGTATGTCGTGCTCTCCCATGTATAATGTATTATAAAAATATTTCACTATATCAAGCTTCTTAATGCATTTATTGTTCTGTATTTGTCCTGCAGTATTTTTAACTCTTAAAAAAAAAAACTGTAGCCGTGACATTTGTTGTTTCCTCCCCCTCCCCCTCCCCCCCCAGAGCTAGTAACACAAGATCGTGCTGTTAGATTTACTGGCTATGAAAATAACACTCTAAGAATTCTCCTCTTCTTGGGCTGTTTTAGCAGTAAAGCTCTTAATTGTAAAGCCTAAAGAAAGTATCAGAATGATTTAGAATCTGTTGGTGCTATGGGTTTGGTGTCTGAAAATGTTGGGGATGCCAGTGTTACTGCTGGTTTGTACAGTTTTATATATGAAGTCCAGGTCATAACCTGTTGTTTTTATCCTGATTACACAACAGTAAGTAAAAAAGTACTACTACTAAGGTTCTAGCTCATAATGCACAGGTTTATCCCAAACAAAACATGTTTAAACTTGTCCTTGCCATCAGTGGATGACCACAGGCAAGTTATGTCAGCAACACACCTGTCTTAAGGTTATTATGATGTCTTTAAAAGCAAAAGGATACTTTCCGTGCCATGGATAAAAGCTATTTGAGCTCAGGGCTAATAGCAAATTTTTAACAAAACATAAGTGGACATCTTGTTAGCCAAGAAAAGGAAGACTGTCATCCTCAACAAAGGAAGAAAATGTGGCTGAAGTCCAGTGACTGATGGAAGAAGACAGTAAAATGAACATTGATGTGATAGCTACTGAAGTTGGGAGCTCACGTGGTTCAGCATTTTCAGTTTGCTGTGAACATCTTGTCCTCAGCTACCTTTTGGGTTGATAGGTCCCATAAGAATGATATAACGATCAACTAGCTCTTTCCATCAGACTTTTAAGTAAGATGAAAGCTAATGAAGGTAATCTGGTGGAAGAGATGGTAAGCGGGATGAGTCTTGGACTTACCAATATGATTCCGAGAGCAAGGTCCAGTCAAAACAGTGACTGGGCCAGTTCAGTTTAAAGCAGAGAGGTCAGCTCAGAAAGTTATGGTGACTGGTTGTTCTAATTCCAAAGGGGTAATCTTGATAGATTTTCGCAAAGAACACAGGATTGCAGGGGAATATTAGGAAGAAATTAAGAAGTTTTAAGAAATTTGAGAATTGCCTTGGGGAGAACAAAAGCCAGGAAAGTTGTGCCGAGGAATTTTTTTCCATCATGACAATGCACCTGCTCATTCTCTGAGCGTAGCTGAAGCTGTTCTATGAGAAATTCATTGACAAACTTCTCCCTGTGCATTTTCCAGCTTTGATCTTGCCCCTGTGAGCCTCATTTTGCTCTCAAAATTCAAAGAAATGTTTTTAAAGAATATGATTTGAGTCCCTTGAGGACACCAAGCCTGTCATTTGGTTGTGTAAATTGAAGAGCACAGAATTCTGTGGGGAAGGGTTAGAGAGATGGAAGTAAGCATTTTCATCCTGAGGACGCGGAGGATATGCCAGAAGTATATATGGAGGATATGTCAAGAAACAATAGCTTCATGGCTTGATATTATCATTTATATGATTCCATGCAATACTTTTTGACGTACCCTCATGTGTAATAAGAAGCCCTGATGATTCTGTGGTTAAAGTTCTCCATGGGAAAATATGGATGTGGCATTTCATTTCTGTAAAGATTTACAGCTTTGGAAATCATATGGGCAGTTATATTCTGTTTGCTAGAGTCACTGTGAGTTGGAATTGATACGGTGGCCCTGAGTTTTTGACAGGTGCAGTTGATTCCCTTCCTAAGACTTTCTTTGGGGACTTAGGACGTAGTCATGGCAAAGGGTTTCACTGTTCTTGCAGAGAAATTCTTTTAGGTTAGGCGGAATCTCAATAAGTAAAATAAATGAAATGTTTTCAAAAAGATCATTGTTCCAGGGAAACATTAATAAAGAAGAAAGGCGATAATAGCATAGCATTTCTGAGGAAATGGAAAGGGGCAGCATTCAAAGCACAGCAAGGGGGAAGTGCCTCTGTTAGATTAGTGAGAAAACTAGGATAAGAGTACAACTCCTATAAAGCAGGGAAAGCCATTTCCTGTGTGCTGACCCAGAAATGGAAGGACAAGTACAGGTTTGAAGGAAGTGGAACAGATTTGAAATAAGTAAGTAGTCCTTCCAGAAAGAACATGCCAGCCAGCGACATGCATAATGGGCTGCTGACTGCAGCAGTTCGAAACTAGCAGCCTCTCTGGAGCAAGAAAGATCAGACTTTGTTCTCATAAAGAGTTAGTTTCAAATCCACAGCAGCAGTTCTGCCTTGTCATATAGGTTCGCTGTGAGTCGGAATCGACTTGATGATGGCAGTGCATTTGGGGCTTGGGGTTTTGGTCATATATACTGTGATAATCCTTTTGTCTTGTTTACTTGGCCTTTTGGTATTCATAAATTGGAATCACCTAGGAAGCAGTTGTTTGTAGCGCTGCCCAGCTACTATGGTACTAGAAGAGTAAAACCCAATAGAAGCTCTCATTCGGGGATGGGGATTGCAAAATAAATGCAAAAAATTAGGTATAAAAAGTGTTTAGGTTATTGGTCAAAATATCATAAAGATTGATCATGTAATCTCTCAGCTGGATAAAGAGTGATCATGAATGAAGAAAAGAGCTGGTGGTTGGTTGCTCATTGGAATTGCTAATGGTACATGGTCAGTGGAATAATGGACCACATAGAATTGACTGCGAGGAAGTAGAATAAAGTACAAGGACAGGAGGCTGTGGATACAGAAAACACCACTGGATTAGTGTTTTATATGGTAGGCCATTTTCTCTTGATGACAAGGTCCATAATGTAACCTGGCGATGTATGGCTCAGGTGGAGTAGAAGAGGTAGTTTTTTTCCTAATAGTTTGTGGTTGAGGATATACTTCAGTTAAATATTATATAGTTAAACTCTCATTCTGCCATCGAGTAAATTTCTACTAAAGAGCCCTGATGGCATAATGGGTTAGCATTGAGCTACTAACCACAAGGTCGACAGTTCAAAACCACCAGCCCTACCTCAGGAAAAAAGATGAGGCTTTCTACTGTCAAGTAGAAATAGTAATAGGAGTAGTGATTTCCTGAGGGTACGTGAAGAGGCGCTGGGGTGGTGATGACTATATTCGTTCCCCACTAGAGGGGAACAAATAGCAGAATGGTGGGTGAACAGATAAACACTGGATGGTGTAAAATATGACTAAATAAATAATATATAATGCAATAATAAGGGTTCCTGGGGTGGTGGTGGGGGGGGACAAAGTGGAGCTGATATCAAAGAGTTCGAGACGAAAGAAAATGTTTTGAATCTGATAGTGCCAGCAATTGTACAATTATGCTTGAATTAATTGAATTATGGGTTGTTACAATATCTTGTGAGATCTCACAATAAAATTATTTTTTTTTAAGAGTTACAGTCTTGGAAACCCACAGGGACAGTTCTACTTTGTTCTGTAGGAACCCTATGATTCTATGGCTAGAAAGAGGAATAATAGGAGATAGTAGGAAAATTTTCAAAATAGTATATAACATAGTTCTTTTAATGTGTTGGCAATAACATTCCCCCTGCCCCCCCCCCAATTAAAAAACCAGCTTAATTAGACAACATGTCTTTGTTCAATGTTGTGGTTTTGAAGATAAAATGCACCTGAACTTTGCCTGGTATTTGATTGAACTTGTATGACTTTATTTGGCAGGCAGATGTAGTCTTAAGATTGAAAATAAAATCAGTAAGAGAAGCTCAAATAAGATCTCAGATAGTAAGACTAGTTTTACTTCAATGTCTGGAGAAA